ACTGAGCAAAGAAGAAGTAAACCAATTAAAGTAAACCAATTAAATAAACCAATATCCTACAACGAGATACAGGAAGCTATCAAAAGTCTTCCAACAAAAAAAAGCCCAGGACCAGATGGATTCACAGCAGAATTCTATAAGACCTTTAAAGAAGAACTAATACCCATACTCCTCAAGCTCTTCAGAGAAACAGAGAAGGAGGGAGCTATCCCAAACTCATTCTACGAAGCCAATATCACACTCATCCCCAACCCAGGCAAAGACCCAACCAAAAAGGAGAATTACAGGCCAATTTCCTTGATGAACACAGATGCAAAGATCCTTAACAAGATTCTAGCTAACAGAATCCAGAAACACATAAAAAAAATTATACACTATGACCAGGTAGGCTTCATCCCAGAGACGCAGGGATGGTTTAACATACATAAGTCAATAAATGTAATCCAACACATCAACAGAGCCAAGGTCAAGAATCACATGATTGTAGCCACAGATGCAGAAAAGGCCTTTGATAAAATTCAACATTCATTCATGCTAAAAGCTCTGGAGAAAATAGGAATAGAAGGAACATTCCTTTAAACAATAAAAGCCATATATGACACACCAATAGCCAATATTATACTTAATGGGGAAAAGCTACAACCAATTCTCCTAAAATCAGGAATAAGGCAAGGATGCCCACTGTCTCCACTCCTCTGCAATATAGTCCTGGAACCCTTAGCCAGGGCAATAAGGCAAGAAAAAGACATTAAAGGGATCCGCATAGGGAAAGAAGAAGTTAAACTATCCCTTTTTGCAGACGACATGGTACTATGCCTTCACGATCCCCAAAACTCCATCCCCAAACTCTTAGAAATCATAAATCACTTCAGCAAAGTAACAGGATACAAAATAAACCCACAAAAATCAGTTGCCTTCCTGTACACTGACAATGTACAAGAAGAGAGGGAAATAAAGCGAGCAACCTCATTCACAATAACCTCCCAAAAAATAAAATATTTAGGAATTAACCTAACCAAAGATGTAAAAGAACTATTTAATGAAAACTATAAAAAGTTAAAGAAAGAAATTGCAGAAGACACTAGGAAATGGAAAGACCTCCCATGCTCTTGGTTAGGCCAACTTATAGTAAAGATGGTAATACTTCCAAAACTAATATACAAATTCAATGCAATTCCTATTAAAATCCCAATGACGCACATCACTGAAATACAGAAAACAGTCTAAAAATTCATATGGAACAACAAAAGACCTAGAATAGCCAAAACAATTCTAGGGGATAAAGACAATATGGAAGGGCTATCGATGCCTACCTTCAAACTCTACTACAGAGCTATAATAACAAAGACAGCATGGTACTACAAAAACAGACCCAAAGACCAATGGAACAGAATAGAAGATCCAGAAATAAATCTACAGGCCTACAGCCAGCTGATATTCGACAAAGGAGCCAAAGACATACACTGGTGCTGGGAAAACTGGGCGGCCACATGCAGAAAACTAAAAGTGGACCCCAGCCTATCACCATGCACCAACATCAACTCAAAATGGATTAAAGACCTTAACATTAAACCTGAATCTCTGAAACTACTGCAGAGTAGGAGAGACACTTGAACTAATAGGCACAGGAAGGAACTTCCTGAACAGAGTCCCAGGGTCACAACAAATTGGAGAGAGACTAGACAAATGGGACTCCCTTAAAATAAAAAGCTTCTGCACAGCTAAATCTATAGCAACCAAGCTAGAGAGACAACCAACTAATTGGGAAAAAATATTTACCAGCAATGTATCAGAGAAGGGGTTAACATCCTGTATATACAGGGAACTCAAGAAACTAATCCCTCCCAAACCTAACAAACCAATTACTAAATGGGCAAGGGAACTAAAGAGGGACTTCTCAGATGAAGAAATAAAAATGGCAAAGAAACACATGAGGAAATGTTCATCATCCCTGGTTGTGAAGGAAATGCAAATAAAGACAACCCTGAGATGCCACCTTACCCTAGTCAGAATGTCCCACATCCACAAATCAGCCAACGACAAATGCTGGAGGGGATGTGGAGAAAGAGGAACCCTATTACACTGCTGGTGGGAATGTACACTTATACAACCACTTTGGAAAGCAGTCTGGAGGGTCCTTAGAAAGCTAAAGATTGACCTCCCTTATGACCCAGTCATACCACTTCTAGGCATCTATCCTGAACAACAGGAACCAATATACAAGGACACGTGCACCTCCATGTTTATTGCAGCACTGTTCACAATAGCTAGGATATGGAAACAACCCAGATGCCCCACCACAGATGAATGGATCCAAAAATTGTGGTATCTATACACAATGGAATATTATGCAGCCATTAGAAATGACAAAATAATGGCATTTGCAGGGAAATGGATGGAGCTAGAAGGAATCATGTTGAGTGAGGTAAGCCAAGAGCAAAGAGACAAATGGTACATGGTCTCCCTGATAAGTGGATGCTAAATCCAAAATGTTAGGTGATACGGCAAAACTAACTGGACTTAAGAAACAAAGAACTCCCACTCATCTGGTCGAACCACTACTAAATATCCCATGCTGCTGATCACATGTATGGTGTATAACATGTGTACACCGTTATATGTTATAGATTGTGATAGACAATTTGCTCCAGGAAAGTTAGAATGAACTTGTGACTTTAAATGAGCATCATTATTCCACAATACTGTGAAATTTGGGAAATTATGTAATCATTTAATCACAATAAAAAAAAAAAACCTCGGGGAAGATAGGGAGGGAAGGGATGGTAGAGGGAAAACAATGGAGGGGGTAACAATGCTCAATAGGAAGTGTACTCATTACCTTGCTCATGTAACTGTAACCCTCTGTATAGTATCTTTACAATAAAAAAATATAATGTATTCTTAGATGTGGCATTGTGGTTAATGGTGTTTATGTCTTGGAAGGACCCTGTGAAGCTTCCTTTTGTAGATTAAATTTTTGTTCAGTGTGTTTTACTTATGGCACTTCATATTTGTCATGTATTAAATAACTTCATGATAGACAAAAAGCCCAGATTTAAAGAACTGAGTCTAGCAATGTACCCAAATGTATATAGAGCCTGGGTTTATGACAAAAGTGGCATTATTTAGTTGTTGGTAATAAAGCATGGTTTCCTTTATAAATTATCAAAAGGTAATTATATTAGTGTTATTTTAAATTAGTAATTTTCACATGAGTTATGGTTCACTATAGGAAAGTATGAACAACGGAACTATAAGATAGATGGATAGATAGATAGATAGATAAATTGTTTTGAAGATAAGCAAAGGATGATTTGTATGCAATACACAAATATATTTGATTGAGGTGGTAAAGTTAAGGGCAAATATCTAAGCATTTAAGTATAAAATGAAATAAAAGACTGTGACCAAAGGAGACAAAGATTTTTCTCACCATGTCACAGAAAGCATTAACATAAGTAGACTGAGGAACCTCAAGCATTAAGTTGAAGGATCTCTGTTGATCACAAGATAATTAGCAAAATGCACCTCCTAGGATGGCAATGTTATTTGAAAAATCACACAATCAATAAAGAGAAATTCTAACACAAATGGAGAACTCATGCAAATAAGTGCAAAAAGAGGACACAATAAAAAATATGTAAATGATAAACTACCCTACAACACAACATCTCAATGGCCACTAAATGCACAAAAAGATATTAAACTTCATTAACCAGAAGGGAAAGGTAAGTTTAGCACAAGTGGCTAAAATTAAAATTCGCCAGCATCTACAAAGTCTGCTTTAGGAATTTCCAGCAGAAATTCCTCCCCACACACCGAGTGACACGAAAGAGTGTGCAGCAGCTCTATTTTGGAAGGCAGAGCTGGAAGCAGTGCAGCTGGCCATCAAGGATAGGGCGGGGCATCTTCAAACACTGCAGTCTGGTGCCATGCCCAAACATGGGGAACTCCTTCCACAGACAATCACGATCAGTCTCACAAACTCAACGCCGAGCAACTGAAACCAAGAGTGCAGACACACAACGTGGTGGTATGGGGGGGGGGGAGGGATGGCACTTCCAGCAGGCAGTGGGGACTCCCATCACAGCAGGTCAAGTTTAGTCATGAGCAGAAACAGGAGGAGGTTGTGGGCTTGGGTTGAACTCTTTGACTTGTGGGGTTTCGATATGATGATGATGATGATGATGATGATGTGTGTGTGTGTGTGTGTGTGTGTGTGTGTGTGTGTGTGTGTGTATTCATTACCACAGTTCCTGGGACCTCTGACAACTGGACAGATTTGGGCCAATGGAAGACAAAGCTTTTCCCACTGATGTGTAAATTATTATTAAAAGTGTGATTTTAAATGATCCCTTGGAGAAATGTGGAGTCAGGATGCGTTTTCAGTGAGTGCTTGGGGGGCCCTAGAGCATGGCCAGTTCTGCATCTGGGTAGGCCGGGGTGGGAGGGGGTGGCTTGGATGTGTAAGTAATTAGGGATCTTTTTTTTTTCTCAAAATGGACTCATGTATTTAACTTTCATTACTAAAACCCAAACTTGGAATGCCAACAGTGGTGAATGCACATGCGCCATGTGTCTACTGAGTTAGGACTGCTTTCCTCTTGGAATCATTTATTTTCTGGAGGAAAATCACAAGCTCTATTACTCTCGTGTAGTAAATGCCTGGCTCATAACATGCTTTCAAGAAGGGTTGGATAAGAGATGGGAGGAAGGAAGGAAAAAAAGGAAGAAAGGAGGACAGGGGTGGAGAAGGAGGGAGGAAGGCAGGGAAGAAAGGGAAAGAAAGAAGGAAGAAAGCAAGTAAGAAAGAAAGACCAAGCAATGGGAGCCCCCATACAATGTGTCCCTCAGAACCTGTCTTTCGAGCCCCAGAACACTGCTTTCACCAGCCAGACTCTTTCACATGGCCATGTTAGCTCTGTCCCAGCCTCCATTTGGCTGTGTGTCTCTGTCCTAGCCTCCTCCATCAGGCCGTGTGTCTGTCCCAGCCTCCTCCATCAGGCTGTGCATCTCTGTCCCAGCCTCCGCAGGGCATCCTTCACGTCCCTGTTCCGCAGGCTGTAGATGAGCGGGTTGAGCATCGGGATGACCAGGGTATAGAAGATGGAGACCACCTTGCCCTGCTCCATGGATGCCACTGCCCCTGGCTGGGCGTACATGACAAACACTGTCCCGTAGAAGAGGGACACGGCTGTTAAGTGGGAGCCGCAGGTGGAGAAGACCTTGTGCCCACTTGAGCCCGAGCGCATCCTGAGGATGGTCACCGTGATGTAGCCGTAGGAGACCAGGACCACTAGAGTGGTGCCCACAATGATGAGCCCACAGATGGCAAACATGACCAGCTCATTGAGCGCCGTGCTGGCGCAGGAGAGCTGGAGCAGGGGCGGCACATCGCAGAAGAAGTGGTCGATGTGGTTGGACCTGCAGAAGGGCAGGCGGAAGGTGAGGCTGGTCTCTACTATGGAGTTGAGGCAGCCTCCAAAATAGGCACCCAGCACCAGGCGGGCACAGGTGGCTGGGCCCATGGCCACAGGGTACCGCAGGGGGCTGCAGATGGCCACGAAGCGGTCATAGGCCATCACAGCCAGAAGGAAGCCCTCGGTGGTAACCAACAGTGAGAAAAAGAAGAGCTGCGTGGCGCAGCCGGCGAAGCTGATGGCCTTGGAGGAGGAGAAGAAGTTGGCGATGGCGTTGGGGGCGATGGCGGAGGAGTAGCAGAGGTCGAGGAAGGACAGGTTCTTGAGGAAGAAGTACATGGGGGAGTGCAGGCGGGCGTCCAGGGTGATGAGCACGATCATGGTGAGGTTGCCCAGCACGGTCACCAGGTACAGGGCCAGGAAGACGGCGAAGAGCAGGGCCTGGGTCTCCAGCCCGCCCTGGAAGCCCTCCAGCACGAAGCCCCACACAGGCGCTGCGGAGAGGTTTCCATTCCCATGGGCTGGCATGGTGCTGGGCAGGGACGGCTGGAGAGGGGAGGGGAGGCAGGAGGGGAGGGCCGCAGGCCCACTGTCACGGACTGGAGGCACGCCAGGAACCTTTGGTGACACGCTGCTCGCCACCGACAGCTGCCAGCTACGCAGCTCTCCCGGGCGCTCACCCTGGCCTCAAAGGGCCATTGCCTCAGATTCACTTGACTCGGGCGTGCGTGCCGGGCCCTGGGTGCGGGAGACGGCTGTGTTCTGGGGACACTGTGTTCTGACTGGCTGAGGGACAGTGTTTCAGCGTCCCATGCCTGGCTCTGACACCCTGGTGTCCACCTGAGCGTGCTCCTGAGCTGTGCCATGGGTGCACTGGGCACTGTCTCCCTCTGCACGTTTGAGACTTGTCCTATCCACTCAGAGATTCAGGACGGCCCTGAGGTCCTCCCGCCGGGTCCTGAGGTCCTCTCGCCGGGCAGGCACCCCTTCCCCCACCGTGCAGCGAGCAGGCGGCAGCCCTTGGGGAAGAACCGGTGTCTCTGCCCATGTCCTCTGAAGGACCCCAACTGCAGCCCAGCACCCCAACTCTGAGCCTGGACCACAGCGGCCCTGAATCTACGGGTCTCCCTGTGTCCTTGCATGTCAGGATCATCTGACAAGCTGCCAGGTGTTGAATGGGGGGGAGGGGCCGCCCCAGTTCCTAGGTGACAGAAGTATCTGGAGAAGAGTCAAGACACCTTCAAGACTGGACACGCTGTCCCCCCCCCCCCCCCGTGCAGTACTCACCCTCCAGCCTCACCCCCAGGGGATCCTGGGCGTGGTTTGCCCTGGCACTGGGAGCTGCTGAGGACCGCTGTCTGTCTGTGTCTCTGGACCTTCCTGGCCTGCAGACTTTAGGTCTGTGAGCAGCGCTGGAGCCTGCAGAGCTGGGAGGGAGCCGCTCCAGCCGTGGGGGTCGGGATGGAGGCGCGAAAGCCGGTCAGCTGGCCAGGGTCCCTGCGGGGCAGGAGAGCTGCAAAGGCAGGAGCCGGTTTCAGTGTGGGCTCCTCTCCTCCGGTCCGGCCTGCGGGGTGCGGGGAGCGGTCCCCTGGGGTCAGCGACCCGCAGAGATTAGCTGGTGCTGACCCTCCTCAGCTCTCATCTCTTAGATGGTGCCTCCGACAGCTGAGAGGCGCGCACACCGCTGGGCCGGGCTGGGTGTGTGTGCTGTCCTCTTCCAGGACACTGCTGAGGACCCGAGTTGCAACAGGAGGAGACGGTGTGGCCACGATGCCCACGCAGGGCTCACAGGGCACAGCTGGGGGTGCGGTGGGCACTGGGGGGAGTCCCTGCATGGCCCTTTGTCTTGGCCATCCTCCCTTTTCTGCCCACCTCCTCTATGTCCAGGGAGCCCTCTCCCCACCTCCACCTGCAGCTCAAGAGGTCATGCTTCTCACCCAAGAGGTCCTTGGATACATGGCTGTGTATCTGCACCTGTGCTAGGACAGAGCTTGCTGGCCAGGGGCTGCGGGTGACTGCCTGCAAGCTCAGCCGCTCCTAAAGGGCCCCGGCCCCTCCCCCTGCATCAAAGTTGCTCTGGCTTTGGGAGACGCAGCCCGCGGTGCCCTGCGTGCGGGGATGCCTGCAGTGCCACACACCGAGGTACATGCCTCGGCCCGAGTCAGTCTCCCTGTGCACAGAGGGACCCGGCCCTGTGGCCTCCCCGTGGCCTGTTCTACTCTCCTGCCCCGAGTGGGGCCGGGCGGCAGTAGCGCTGGGGCCTTGTCCAGCTCACGACCAAAGGCTGTGTCTGTGGGAGTCCCCTCGCAGCTTCTCCTCACACTGAACTGGCTGCAGGCAGTGCCCCAGGGAGGGTCAGTGCTGACCCTGACGCCCACCTCTGCGCCGTCCCATCATTATGTCACTCGACTCACCAGCGCCGTGCGGTCCCAGTCCCTGGGCTGCTAAGCCTGCTGTGTGCTGTAGACAGGGAGGTGGACACTGGGGGAGCCCGTCCCCTCCACGGGTCAGCTCTGGCTACTGAGTGAGGAGGGCTGGGGCAGAGGTGGCACCTAGGATCTCAAGTGCGGGTTGCAGTCACGGTGGCTCACGAGTCCTGTGAGGAGGGCGGGCCACCCCCTCTCCTTGCCTCCTCCCTGTCCCTGTCCGCCCAGTATGTGGAGGTGCCTGCACTTGGGGTCACTGCGGGGTGGGGGGAGATTCTCTCAACCCTGCAGGGCTGGGACTCGCCGCCTCCAGTGGCCAATTAGGAAGGCGCAGAGCTTCCACTCGTCCCGAGACTCCAAGTCCCAAAGTCCCTGCCACCTCCTCTGTCCAACTCACCCTCACACGCAGGGCTGGGTTTCAAAGCAGAGTCTTTCGAAAGCCCTGGAGACAAACAGTAGTCAGGCCAGAATCTAAGAGCTGGCCGGCACCCATTAGGGGACTTTTCCTGGACACAGGTGTGAGCTGCAACTCACACCAGTCAATGTTCCACTGACTAAGTACACATAGGCTGTGTGGTGCTCAGCCATTCCCTGGGCCCACATTTCTGCCCATCTTCCCATTGCACGAGAAAATCTTCCTGCCTGAGCCTCTCCTGTGGGCTGATTTCTCTTTTTTGGCAGTTACTCACTTTCAAAGGTCTCCTCTGTGTTCCTTTCTTGTTTTGACTGACAATAAGCATGCTAAAACTTCTCTGTTTTTGATTGGAACGAGCATCTGCTTGGAGGCACGCCAGCCATGCGGCAGTGCGCGGCATTGCACAGCACGTGCTCGGGGCTTTGTGTTGTCGCATAAACAATCTGTGATCCCATTTGGGATCCGATCTGTGCTTTTCTTCTCACTTACCTCCATGGTGTGCACACTAGTCACTTTCCCGCCTTTGTGCAGGCGCATTCTCGGGTCTTAGTGGAGCTTGAGGCATTTCCCTGTTCTAAGCAGCAGTGCAGAGGCCAGACACAGACTTTGCTGTAACAGTGCCTGGAGATCAATGACTACACAACTCCCTACGCCCCCCCCCCCCACCACACACAGGTTCTCAGTGCATTTCCTCCTGCCCTTGCCACCAGCAGTTGTATCCCCAAGACTGAATGCCACCCACTTCTCAAAAACCATTTATGGATCTAGCATGGTATGATGATTACTTTTTTTTTGTCAGTCGTGAGGCTTGAACTCTCAGCCTGGGTGCTGTCCCTCAGCTCTTCAGCTCAAGGCTAGCACTCTACCACTTGAGCCACAGTCTACTTCCAGTTTTCTGAGTGGTTTGTTGGAGATAAGACTCTCACAGGCTTTCCTGTCCAGGCTGGCTTTGAACTGAGATCCTCAGCCTCCTGTGTAACTAGGATTACAGGCATGAGCCACCAGTGCCCAGCTTGATGGTTACTTTTATGTGTCAACACGACTAGGTCACTGGCACTGTGCTGCAAGGCTCCATTGAAGGTGTTGTGGATAAGACTGAGTAAAGTGAGCAGCTCTTTATGTGAGTGATCTGATGGTGGCCTGAATAGAACAAAAAGCTGACAACCCTCCCTGCAAATATGAGGAAATTCCTCATCTGCCCTTGAGCTTGCATTCCAGTTTTCTTCTGGCCTTTGACCTTGAATGGAGCACGCAGCTCTCCTGTGTCTCTGGCTTGCCTACTGCAGGTTGTAGGATTTGTCAGCCTCCTCGGGCCTGATTGACAGACACACGATCTTTGTCAGTGTGTCAATCATCTTTTCACTTCCCAGTCACCTGTGTCCGCTTCTGGGCTTTGTTCCTTTGCATGCTCGTGCACTGATAAGTGATGATGGCACTCTGCCTGTGCACCAGTCCTGAGCCAGACAGGCTGGGGGGGGGGGGGTCCTGCGCCCATCTACCTCCTTCCCGACAGACCAGTCTCCAGCCTGACAGCACCTTTTCTTACTGGGTTTAATGAACTCTTTACATACAATAGACCCTTCATATCTTGTGCATGTTGCAAGATGCAGCTTTTGTAGTTTGCTGCTAGCTTCTGGTTTTGTCTTCAGGGCTCCCATACGATAGTTGGACACCTAGCACATTCCCCTGCCCCTTGTATGGACATGAAATTTCTCACAGACCAACTTCTGTCCTAAGAACTCACCAAATACCAAGCTGACCACCCCACCGCATCCCCAACCTCCCAGAGCTTGAGGATCAATCTTTTCAACATTAGGCTGTGGATACATCATTCACAGTGTGTGTGCTGTGAAGCTGGCATTCCCACCTCTTCCCACAGAGAAAGTGAATCTAAGTTGCTCTGATGTTCTGACCTGTCCAAATGTTACCGTTTGACCTGAAGGGTCCCCGAAGGCTCCTGAGTTGAAGGCTTGGCTCCTGAGGGGGCTTTTTGTCTCCATCCAGCTTTTTACTGGTTGTTTTGGAGATGGGTTCTTACAGACTTTTCTGCATAGACAGGCTTCAAACTATGATCTCCAGATCTCAGTCTTTGAAGTAGATGAAATTACAGGCTTGAGCCATTGGCTCCTGGCTTCTGTTGTAGCTTTGATGTAATAAGCTCTTGTTTTTCCATTTTCCATTTTTTAAAATAAATTTTATATGTTTGCTCATTTATTACCCAAATTGTTGGCATTTTCATCAAGATCTTGAACTGACGTCTTTACTCCATTCTTCAGTTTATTTGAATCATCCTTCAGGTGACATATCATTTTTAAAACTAAACTTTTGAATCTGGCCTTTCAACTACTTCAGTCACCTGGGATTCAGTTATGAAGAGTCGTGAACTTTCGGAGGAGTCATGTTGCCCTGCATCTCCATATTCCTCATGTTTCTGAGTTGCATCTTATTCATCTCTTGAAGGGCATAGCCTCTGGTTTTGTAGTGAGCAGCCTACCCTGAGCTGCAGTACCACTCAGTGAAGAGAAAACTAAAGCCACTCAACAGCAGCAACAACACCATGAGGAGGAAGGGAAAAGGAAAAAGGGAGAAGGATAAATGAAAGAAAATAAGAAGAGAAAATGGTGGAAGAGAAAAGAGCAAGCAGTGAAAGTCTGATTGAAAAATGGAGACTACATGAATAAAATTAG